CTCTAATTTCTTCTATAATAGATTGAAAGTTTCTTTGTAAACTTGTAAATAATATAGACTCTAATTTGACTTGAATTCTTTATTTTGGAACTTACAATGGTAATAGATAAAACCTATACAAACCTAAACCTCATACATAGAGCTCCTTTAACATAGTTATGCAAGTCCCAAGTAGGTGTTACATTGAAGTAGATTAATTCTACCTCTTCCGCTTTTTAAATTTAATTTTTCTCTTGAGCTTCTTATGGCCTGGATTTAGTAGCAAACTATCGAGATCTTGAATTTATGCTAATTTTTTATTGTGACATTGCTTTTATGGAGCCATTAAATTATCTTATTAATTTTGAAAATATTTTGTTGATGTTTTAAAATTTCTTGATCATTTCTTAATACCCCAGGAAATATTTTTGTCCCTGAGTCGTTGGTTTTTGTACTTATGTGAAGTTTCCTTTGTCATGCAAACAAGAAATGCAACAGGGTTAGTTACTCCAACTATTATCACGAGTTTAGGTGCCTTAACACATACATTGGGCACCCTTGTCCCTGTGATAGGAGCAAGTGGATTTGCTACAGTTGCAGCTATAACTGCTATAGAAACTGTTGTCGGTAGTTTTAGATAATTTCTTAATAATTGTCGATATGTTTAGAAAGTTAGATATGCATAGTTTTGGATAGTTTAAACTTTTTGTACAGTTTAGAACTTAAGGATATAGTTTCTGAATGTTTGGAATGTATAGACAATTGTTGAATATTTATAATTTATGGATATAGTTTCTTTTTACTATTTCAAACAATATTTTTATGGTTGATTGATGTTTTGTGATGTTTGTTTGTAATATTTGTTAGATTGTACAAAATTGGTCAAATAGAACCTGCTAAATTTAAAAATAAAATAAAATAACTGCATATTCTACGGCAGGCATAACAAGACGTTGTATTACATATTTTACAGAGCGCAATCAACGTCGTTATTTGTCTCACCAATTAACGACATGCAAAACTAGTTGTAAAAAAAGCAACAACGACGCACAAAATTTGCCGTTAAATAGTTTTTAACGGCGTACTATAGCATGTCGTAGAAAAAGTAACAACAACGCACAAAATCTGTCGTTAAATGGGTTTTAACGGCATACGAAGTATGTCGTTGAAAATGAATGACTTTCCATGACTGGTCATAATATGACGCGCGCTGCACGTCACAAAAGAGTTTTTATGGCCTGCATTGCTAGCCGTAAAAACCTTTTTTTGTTGTAGTGTGTCCGATTGAACCCCAAACTTGATTTTATTATCTTGTTCCATTTTAACCCAATTTTATTACCTCTTTCAATTACCTTTCCATTCTTTAGTTATTTTAGTTCAAAAATGATAGTTAAGCCCACTAAATGGAGAAGAACGTCAAACAAGAAGTTGTTTTGGTCATGAGAGAGATGTCATGCATTTGGTAATGCACCTCAAAAGAGATTAAACCATTAAGCACAAGGATCTCTATCTCAAGCTTAAACAATACTCATTTGAAACAACTCTCAAAGCAAAGGAAAAGCCAAGAAAAGATAGAGGTTGTAGAGGTGATTAGAGGTGAACAAAAGTATGGAAATCACTAAATAAATGCTATCAACTCAAATAGGTTAGTGTCTAATGCCTAAAACACCAAACTCATAAGGACCATTACACTAGAAACATGTTATACAAAGCATAAATGAAATTAACACATAAAAACAGTCCTAAATTAGGCTGAAACAGTGCTAGAATTAAGGTAAAAACAGCTAAAAAAGCAAGCTAAAATAATGGAGCAATTAAGCTAGCAAACAAGCCAAAAGAGGGGGGTGGCTAACCCCTCCACTTTGGGGACTTCAAAACATTATTTTTAGCCTTTGAAAACCTCTAAAAATCAGTGGGAAAAAGGTCAAAAAAAGTTAATAAAGAGATGGGAAACACAAGGGTAAAAGCCTAGGAAGTAAGGTTCAAAGAAGGGTAGTTAACCCCTCTACCTTTGATAGCTTTTAACCACAAGTTTCAGCCCATAAACACAGTTGAAAAAGAGCCCAAAATTAGGAAGAAAAGATAGGAAAGAAATTGTGCAAAAGAGCTAGGAGTTATACCTCTTGAAGATGAGTGACCCTTTGAGTTATAAACCACCAATTTCACACCCTCGAGAGCTAAGATGCAAGCTCAAGTACCTCAGCAAAGGGACCTCAAAAAACTTGTTTTAAGAAGTCTAGGTAAGGTGTGTATAGGTTGCAAGGTCAAGAGAAAGAAATATTGTCTAAGAATTTTTCTTCTTCAAATTTTTCTAACCTAATTTTATGAGAGGGGGTCAAGGATATATAGAAAATTATGTTAGGCTCTTAGAAATATCAGTATAGAAACAACTGGTGCAGTGCATGCACCTATGGAGACAGTTGGCATAGCTAGCAAACATATCTGAATTTACTGACGGCTGGCTACTAGTTGGACGGCCTGTAGACACCACATTTTTGACCGACCTTAAGACTCAGACATCACCGATTGAGCGCTTGGTGATGTTGCATATCGTGCTCGTTCAGAGGTTTCAGAGTCTCGGCTGCGAGCCTCACCTCCGGACTTCCGGACTCTTTCATGCTTTGCCTCGATTTGCGAACCAAGTCCCGTTTTCTCCGTCTTCTCTTCCCGAAGGGAGGGAGAGGTCTTGTAGATCATCTCTCAGTGGCCGTAGGCTACGTTTCGTGGTCGTAGGCCATTTTTCCCGTTTGGAGCCCGGTTTTCGATTTTTCGGAGCCGTTGGCCGTGTGCCTCAGTTCGGGACCGCTTAACCACCTCCGTTTGCTCCGGTTTTTGGCATGCATCTTATTTGTTCCCTTTTGAGGGACACTGTGGCTCGAAAGACCAACTTCGTGGTCGAACACCACTTCCGGTGCCTAATAGTCAGTTTTCGGGGCCTCGGGCTGCGCGTTTCGGCCCCCGAACCTCCATTTTGCATCGGTTTGAGTTCATTTTTGGCAGGGACCTCTGTTTCATTGTTAGGAAGGTCGTAGAAGGGTGGGAGGCCAGTAATTGTTCTGAAAACTAGTTTTATTCCTCCATCGCCCTCCGTCGCCCGTTTTTCTCACTTGAAAGCCAATGTTGACCACCCTAAGGCCACTTTTTCTTGCCCCAAACCACATATTTGTGTTGTACACACCTGGGAGGCCACCAATATCATATGGCCGGCCAGTAATTCTGTGTGACCCTTTTGAACCCCTCCTAAAAGTGGCCTTTTCTCTCTCCTAGTTCACTTTCTCCAGTTTTTGACCACATGGTTGTGTTGTGCACACATGGGAGGCCCTCTTTTTGGCATGGCCGGCCATCAATCATGATTGACCCTTTTGACCATTGGCCGGCCGGCCATGGGGAAGGCCGGCCGGCCGGCCACCTAAACCCTAGAAAAGCAACCGGCCTTACTCCTCTCTCCTGGTACATCACAAATATGTATTTTGTTTCCCCCCAGATTTTGTATCCGGGGGGGAAATTTTTGGAGGGAAAACTTAAATTTGAATCTCCCCCCTTTTTCTCCACTCTTGTGCCTATATAACCAGCACCCCCAGCTGTGTTTTGAAGGTTAGAAATTTTGATTTGGAGCTTCTACATTGTATCTCTCTCTCTCTACACTCCTACCCTCAAAACCTCCCAAACCCTACACCATTTCTACACCACCACCTAGCACCACACCACCACCATCTATTCTAGCCACTTGGAGCTGTTTTCCAGAGCTAAGGAGCCACCAAACTTGGTCCAAGAGTTGTCAAAGCATTGGTCTTCAAGGGTAAGTCTTCTATCCCTCTCTTTGGACCTATTTTTGCTCAATATATTAGTTCCTCTTGCTTGCATATTTGGGCTCCGACCCTAACTGAAAATAGCATTATTTTGAGCTCCTTTCCATGTTTGTTTAAGAGCCTCTCCCTGTTTGAGGCTTTCGTTTTACACTTGCTTCTTTACCTCTCTTGTATGCCTCTTTCTTGCATAGTATTTTAGGCTCATTTGTAAATTGTTTCAAGCTTGGTTATAAACTAAAAAGTGGCTTATATTGAGCCCTTATTCAACATTTTTGAAGGGCTCTTCACTGTTTGAGGCTTCCTTTTGTCACTTGCCTCTTTATCCCTCTTTTAGCCTTATTTTTGCATGTTTTGTTAGCCCCTTGTGCTAGTATTTTTGGGCTCCGACCCAAACTGAAAATAGTCATATTTTGACCCCCTCTTCATGTTTTATCAAGGGTCTTTTGCTGTTTGAGGCTCCCTTTTTACACTTTGTGTTTAAACCTTCTTTTAGGCTTATTTCTTGCATAGTATTTTAAGCTTACTTGTGCACTGTTTTGGGCTCGGCCATAAACTGTAAAATACCTTGTTTTGAGCCCCTCTTAAACTTTGTTGAAGGGCTCTTCATTTTTTAGGGCCAGAAGATTCTACTTGCTTCTTTATCTCTCTTTTGGGGCCATTTTTGCATGTTAACTTAGCCCTATTTGTGTTCATTGTTTGGCCTTGTTTAAAATTGTAAATATGCTTGTTTTGGGGCTGTCTTGATTCTGTCTTCACACTTCATGTTCAAATAATGCATGCTTTGCATAGCCATAGGTCATTCCATGTACCTAATTTCATGTTTCGGGTCTCATTCCATGCATCGGGTACCATATTGCCATGTTTCGGGGCTGTTTTGCATCACATTTCAGCACTGAAATTTGCATGTTTGCAAACCATGTTTCATGCCTTGCCATGCCTTGTTAGTGTTGCATGCCATGCCTTGGGTTCGGTCCTCGGACTCCCGGCACGCCTCTCCGCCCTGCCTCGGTACTCCTCTCCTCATTTCTCTCTCTCTCTTCATATACACTACAATCACACACACACACGCACATATATATATGTATGCATATTGTTCTTGCTGTATTCAATTAACTTGTGATTCTCTGTTCAGTTAAAAAATGACGTCGACGACGATGGAGTTTCGGTTTTTCGTGTTCCGGTTAGGGTTTTATCTTTTGCTAGTTATTTTTCTTATTCACTGATTAAGCTCGATTGGATCTGAGTTTGTTTTATTTGATTTATTTATCGCTTATTGGAATGTAGATCAGTGGAGGAAGACTGGATCGTGACATTTGGAGTTCAACACTGTCTAAATTCTACTACGGATGCAGTAATGCAAGCAAAAAATTTGCTGGTGATTTTTTTTTTTTTTAATTTTTATTATACTGCTTCTTGTTTGTCGATTTTGTTCTGTTGCCATTATAGTATTCTGGTTGATTTGGATTTTTTTTTCTTCTTCTTCAAATTGCAGATGCTAAATTAATCACGCAATCCAATCGGTACTTGTTAATTGCGACCAGTGGAGGTTTGAACCAACAAAGAACTGGGGTAATTATATCTATCAAATGTTATTTTGGAATTGCCGAAGGGTAATCTAGATCTATTTTTGGTTTTTCGAGTGTTTGGAGAATGGTTTCTGTGTTGAGAAGCTAAAGAGAAGGTTAACACGCGTGGAACTTAATTTGGACTTGATTGTAGTCTTAAATATTGGTCTAAAGAACTAGTTTAGTAGTCAACGGGATCTACTTAATTATCGATTATAGGTTACTAGGAGGTTGGATCAATGGAACAAAACCTGAATATTTTTATTGGAATTATAAGCAATCTAATGTTTACTTTCGTTGCAATTGCTGTTCGATGCTATCATTTCAGCTCACTGTCACTGCAACTGTTTCTTCTTCCTTTTTTTCTTTCTTTTTTTTTTTTTTTTTTTTTTTTCTTCTTTCCTGATTGGGATTGGGATTGGAATCCTATGCGACGGTATAATTATTGAGTCGTGGAACGATAAATGTTTGTCAGAGATTTAGTAAAAAGTACAAAGTTGAAGAACACAAACCACACACGATCCTTTTTCCAGATGGCAGTGGCTTCTTTTTATTAGAGAATGTTATTGAACCTGTAAAGGTTCCCAATGGGTTTTATTTTGATAATTTAAATTGATTAATATGTTCAATTCGTTGAATATTATTTATTTGTAAAAAATTAAATTGATTCAATATCAATAGTTATGTGATTAAATCAATTTTGTATAAAAAAAATAGAAGATGAAAAATAAATAATTGACAGAAAATTGATCTGATGAAATAGCTATCGATATTCAATCAAATATGTTTTTTTACAGACATACAAGACTCAATAAATTTTACACATTAAATTATTCGAATTATTCGAAACGAGACTCATGAATGTCCACGGACCTAATAACACGCTTAATTTAATTTAGGATGGGAGGGAAGCCAGACGCTTTCCAGGCGTCTCTCTTGCATGCATGTATATGCAATGCAGCACATGGAATTCAATCTCTAAAAAACCAAACCAAAATATGGAATGGACTATATGCGTGGATGACGTGATATATTTTTCATAATCAATTTTATAGTTGTTTTATTTTATTTTATTTATAATAATCAAAATATTTCTTATATTTGATCAAGATCTTGAAAATATAATATATAAATAGTTGTATTAGTATTAGTGGAGTGTGTTTGTTTTGAGGGATTGTTTCATGGGATTAGACTGTGAGTCCATCCAGCCTAATAGTCTATTATTTGGTTCAATTTTTTTATTTCGGATTAATAGTCTCTCTGGACTATTAGTCCCTCATATGAGGGATTATTGTATCTTAGGGGGAGGGGTGAGATTAATTCCATGGGATTGGTGTCCCATGGGATTAATGTATGAAATGTCTATTTTACTCTCATACTATTACTTAATAAACAATTGAAAAAGGATAAATTAGTCTTTTGAACATTTATAAATTATTTTTTTAGTGTTGTTAATTTAAAATTATATATTAAATAAAAAATATAAATTATAAAATATAAAAT